GGAGGTCATGTTATCTTGTGACAGTAAAAGGGAAGTAGTAAAAGGAGGGGTATAGGTTTGAGGAGAGGGGAAGTTTGGAAAACTTGCAGTGGGTGAAAATTAAAGAGAGAAATGTAAGATTGCCTGGCTGTGCTGAGTGCTGAGGGTTCATTTGATTCAGGTGATCATGAGATTTTGGTGGAATTTATCCATTCTATTGTTTCAGTCTTCAGCGTGTGTAGTTTTGTAGAGGTACTACAAAAATGAGTAGTCGGGGCTTCCGGAAGTGCATCAGGAAGCCAGGAGGCTCCCTAGACAATTCAGAGCAGAAGTGCATCACCATGTGCATGGACCGCTACATGGACGCCTGGAACACTGTGTCCCGCGCCTACAACTCTGGGCTCCAGTGGGAACGAGCCAACAGGTGACCCGGATGCGCATGGCCTGTCCCAGTCTGCAGGCTGCCTCCACCCTCACCCCTTGTTCCATTTCCATAAATGCTTTTTGTGAGGTGGAGAAAAAAAAAAAAGAGTAGTCGGGTTAATCCAGACTGAACTTTTGCCAGACTGAGGCAAAGGGTTTAGGGTAGAGTTCTCAATCTTGGCTGCACGTTAGTATCTATCACTTGGAAGAACTTTGTACTGATATGGTGCTGTCCTGGTGGTTTTTACTCCTCTTTTCTAACTAGTAATTTTTGTTGCAGGTTTCCTATTTTTTCCCACATACTGAATGAAAGCCTCACATTACAAATCTGAGAAAAGGGTCTCCTTTTAGTTATGTATTGTAGTTAAAATGTCAACTGTGTAAGACCAAGTTAATTTGCTTACTACTATGATCCTAAGACATGATACAAAGAAGCTCAATGTGTTTTTTGAATGAATGAATGAAAACCACCAATAGGTGGAGGATGCATGTGTCGGTGCTGCTAAATTATTTATATAATTTATTTACTATTTACAGACAGTCCTATACCCTATCAAGCCAATTTTAGATATGAAGAAACATAATCTCTGAGACGTTAGTAATCTACCCAAGGTCATACAACTAGTGAGTCAATGTGATGTAATGTAGCCAGAGTTCTACATTATGTCATTCTGATTCCAAATCTCATGCTTTAATCACTATACTATGCTGAGTTTGAGAGGAAGGCAAGGACAGAGAAAAAAGAGATAGAAATGAAAATAGGTAGGTAAAATTTTCATGGAATACATCCTTATTTTATGACCCTTTAGAAATTCCAGCAAAACCTTTTTAAGTCCCTTTTACAACTAGAGGCTTGAGGATGTCACTTTTTGATTCTTCTTTCAACAGCAGGATCACATTAAAATCATGGTCACTTATCACGGTCAGCTTATGGGCTGATAGTTCTCCCCCTCTATTGGTTATGTCTTAATCTGTTGGTTGAAACATGGGCCTTTTGATCATTTACAAACTTGAGTTCGCTCATTAGGAAGAAAAATGGTCTGCTTAAGATGTTATACATGCAAATTTATGAACATTTTCAAATGTTATCTGTTACAATACAGTTTGTTATTTGTATTAAGAATAATCCAGCTTTTCCTCCATTTTATTTGTGACAGCAGGACTGGATTTATAATTCTATTGTTCTTTTAGAAAGCAAGCAGAAGTAGAACCATAAGCCTTTTCCTCTTGAGAATTACAATATTTTGCTATTTTCTTTGTGTATATTTTTGTAGGCAAATATCCTTTCATTCAAGAAATATTTATCTGATATGTTACACAGAGCTTTCATTCTAGGAGATAACCAATAAATAAAAATATGTAACATATTATATAGCAAACTGTATAAGAAAAATAGAGCAGGGTAAGGGTGAGAGGGTGGTGGGGTGTCTTTACATAGTTCTCAGAGGAAGGATCTTTGTGATAAAGTGAGATTTGAGCAGAGATCTAAAGTAATGATAGTGTGAGCCAAGGAGATACCAAGAGGAAGAGTACTCCTCGTGCACAGAAGGACAGTAGTGCGAAGGTCCTGAGACAGAGACATGCTTGATGTATTGGAGGAAAAGGAGGATTAGAGGGGTGGGAAAAACGAGCAAGTAAAAAGTCACTGGATATGAAGCCAGAGATAATGTGGATGGGGGCAGTTTACACAGGGCCTTGTAGGCTATGGTAAGAGCTTTGGCTTTTATTCTGAGTGAAATGGGAAGCCACTGGCAGGTTTTAAGATAAAGGTGTGGGCTGGAGATTCTGGGTTTCATTTAGCCAGAGATCTGGATGGGATTGCCTAGGGAGAGAGAAGAGACAGTAATTGTTCAAGTTGTGAGATTTGAATCCTGGGGCACTCCAGCATTTAGAGGCTGGAAAATGAGGAGGAACCAGTCAGGAGACTAAGGTACAGCCATTTAGGAAGGGAGAAAATCAAGAGGGAAATACAGAGTGGAATCCTGGCAGGCAAGATAAGGCACTTCAGAAAGAAAAGGGTAAGTTAACAGCTCTTTCAAATACTGCTGACAGGTGAAGTAAGATGAAGTAACAGAAATTGGATTTGAGAATATGGAGACTACTGCTGTTCCTGAGCATTTTCAATGGAGAGAGAAGTGGGAATGAAGTTTCTCTGTAGAGGAGAGCAGACCACAGCAACGGGGTAATATTTGGAGGAGTTACAGGTCAAGTTTTTTGTTTTGTTTTTTAAAGATGGTAACTATTAAGGCATGTTTATAAGTTGACCGAAGTGATCCAGTTGAGAGGGAAACAATTCATAAGGAAAGTGGACAATTACAAGAGTAAAATGGAACTCAAGGCAAAAGTGGCAAGTTTGGTCTTAGGAATTTTAAGTTTACCCATAGTTACTGGAGTGTAGCAGTAAGTCCAGATGTAGGAAGGTGGGTAGGTGCAGTGGTGGAAGAGGGCAGAAAGCTGTTAATGAATTCTTCTGTTTTCTAGATAAAAAGATAATGACTTCACAGTGAAGAGGGGACCTGTATACTCAAAAAGAAAGACGTTAAATAACTGTCTAAGAGGGCGGGGAAATTAGTCTGTGGGGGAAAGAACACTGAGGAGCTCACTTCAGAGTTAGCATGGCTGCATGTTTTTCTCCAGCCAAGTTCAACTGCTCTGATGCAAGCATGCAGTGAATTAACCAGGGTTGTGGTTTAGGCAGGTAAAATGCAGGAAGAGAGAAGGAAAGGATTGAAGGTATTCGCAAAGAAGAATTTATAACAACGGATGATGGACTCTAAAGTAGGCAATGAGATGAGTTTTTAAAAAATGGTTATAACATTTAGACGAGTCCTTTAGGAAATAGTCAATTCTCATTATTTGAAGTAGTTATGTTTTACAAAGTCACGATGAACACTGAACTGCTCTGAGGGGAAATACAGGGTTAGGTTCCTGAGAGACTCTGGTCACATTTTTGTCAACCAATCAATACATAACCTTGTTTCACATGTGTCTCTGTTTAGATACCTTGTTTAATATATATTGTTGATTTATTAACACTGAACTCATGGCCAAGAGCACTAATGATAAGCCTGAAGGGAGCTTATCTAGGACATGCTGCCTCACAAGGCACCTCATAGCCTTCCTGTGTTTCCGAATTACCAGACAGCACTGCAGCACTATGCTTGGGGATGGGGGTGGACGGGTAGTGCTTAAGACAGCAAAATCACCAATAAAAAGCACCAAAAAAGGTGAAAAGCATGACATACATATGGTGAAAATCACATTTGCTTACAGTACATGAGGTGATACAAGGCTGAGTATAGCCTTGTTTAACCTCAGCTGGGAATGTGTCAGGCAAGTTAGATTTTTTTGCTACTCTGCGCATGTCCATGAATGCTGCACGCGTTAATTTTGGGGGTTACAAATAAATTTTAGTGAGTAGCAGAACTCACAAACGTGGAATCTATGAATAATGAGGACTGACTACATTGCCTTGGAACTGTTTCCTCCATAGCTCAGCCCAGTTTGCTGCTTTTGATCAAATAATATATATCAATTTCAGCAGACATCTGATCCTCAAATAAAAAAATTAGTAATACATTTTACTGCCAGTTTTCAAAGTTTCTGCATAAGATTTATATATTACTTTTTGTACTCTTCTAATCTGATGTCTCCTATCTTCAATGTATTTGCTTACAAGTGTTAGAAATTACACATAAAACTTTAGTTTCTTTTTTTCTCATTTCAATCACTGGCAGTTTTTTCTTTAGTTACTGACAGCTTAAGTAGGCATTCACTAGTCCTCACAAACAGCAATAGTCTTAACATTTGGCTGGTGGATGCGACAAATAGTACATAATCTACTTTTCTCAATGGTGATTTCAGGGCCCTTCCTCCACCTCATTCCATCTCATTAGGTCCAGCAATATTGTTACTTGTTGGATACCAAATAAATCAGTGATTTTTAAATTTTTTTTTGAGTATTGTTTCTTCTGATTTGTTTCCTATTTTGCCTTTTTATGTAAATAGTTGTATAGTAACTTTATCCATATTACGATGTTTTTCACTAATGCTGCAAGGAGCAGAAAGAAAAAAAATTACCTGAATACCACCACCCTCAAGTAAAACTTAAGTTTTTCCCTCCCCGTATGCCAAGGTTACTACTGTGCCTGTAGCAGTCTATAAAATTATGTTTGTAGCATTTTCATTGAACACAACCTATGCCTTGATTCGCACGCCAAACCTCCAAATGAATTTCTTTTCACCCAAGGCTTTCTCAAGGAAGAGGAACTAGAAGAAAAATGGGAAATAAAGAAAGGAGAAATAATGGGGGAAAATGGGAAATAAAGAAATGAGGGGGCACGGCTGAGGGTGGAAAATCTTAAACAAGGATGAGGCGGTTCAACCCTTTTCCCAAGTCATCCATCACCCCAAGTCTCCGGGCTCATCCAATATTTTAATTCATTGTGCCGAGCGGCGCTCCCCGCTCAGTCTAGGAACCTCCGAGACCTTGCAGCTGCGCAGGCACAAGGCCTTGTGGCATTCTGCACGCTATCCCTAAATTCTTCACACCCGTCTTTGCTCGCTTGGAAAGCTCGCTTTCTGGAGCTGTGACTTACTTCTAAAATGCCGCCGCACGGGCTCCAAGCAGCTTTTGCCCGTCGCAGGTCGGTGGCGCGTTTATGCGTCCAGTTTCAGGCTGGTGTGCAGGCTCGGGTTCCGCCTCCGCAGAGCCGGCCTGAGGGAGCAATCGCGCGCTCCCTACCTGCCTGAGGGCAGCTCCCGTGGCCGCTCACAGAGGAAGCTCCAGGATAACCCGCCTGCCTGCCAGTAGCCTAACTAGGGCTTTGCGACCACCCCGCCCGAGCCCGAAGGGGCGGGGGCCGGCGGCCGGAGCGCTCCCCCCAGGGCACCCTACCCCACCCCCCGCCCCCGCTTCGGCGCACGCGCAGCAGCCGCAGCCTCCCTTATTTAGTCCGAGATGGCTTCTCTCGCGCCCCACCGTCCTCCTCCCGAAGGCGGCTCCCTCCCGGCGCACCCCGGGGCCCCTGGGACCAGCCTCGAGCGGGTTCCCAGGCAGGACTCTCCCTAAACTGGAACGGCGGTGGCCGGACGTGAGCGTGAAGAAAAGCAGCGGTAACCGGAAAGAGCTGACGGGTCGCGAGGCCGCGAGCCAGGCCTCAGAGGAAGAGGAAGGCCGGCGCGAGCCGAGGTTTGCCGAAGGCGGCGTTCCGGCGCTGCGCGGGGTGGGGAGGAGGGGCGCGGCGGAAACTGCCGAGGTTTGCCGAAGGCCGCAGCCTCCGAGTTGCCCGGATGTAGTTGGTGGAGCGGCAGCGGCGGCACCAGCGGCGGCGGCGGCGGCAGGAGGAGGAGAAGGGCCAGGCAGCGGCGGCGGCGGGGGGAGGAGGGGAGGAGGCGGCGGAGCGAGAGGAGGAGAGGGCGGAGGAGGCAGTCGCTCTCCGCGGGGCTGAGCCGGACGCGTCTTCTTGCCCCCCTCCCCCCGGTTCGCCGCTGCCGCCGTATAGTTGGCGCCGCTGCCCGGGCTGAGAGTGAGCGTGGTGTGGACGGAGGGAGATGGCCCGGGAGCGCCGGCGCCAGTAACGGGGAGGTGCTGAGAGTCGCCGAAGGCGCGCCGGGCCCTGGTGCCGGTGCTGCCGCCCGCCCGCCGCCTGCGCGCCCGCCTGCCCGCCTCTCGCGGCCACTCTCCCCCCTCCCCCGACACACACTCACAGGCCGGGCATTGATGGTAATGTATGCGAGGAAACAGCAGAGACTCAGTGATGGGTAAATTGGCTTTTCGTTTCGGGCCGGGCCGCGGCGGGGGGGGGGCTGTTCCTCCTTATCTGTGCTGGCTGAGCCGCCATTTTTGTTGTTAACCCTGATCCGGATCGGGCTGGGGAGGAGGAGCGGCCGCGCGAGCAGGCGAGGCTCGAGTGAGTGTGGAGGGAGCGGAGGGCCGGTTCGCGGCGTTTCGCCCTCGTTACCGCCTTTAAGCGGCGAGTGTCTGTGCGGGCGCCCCGCCGCTTGGTTGGGTAGGTTCCCCGCGGGGAGGGGCGCCGGGGGGGGGGAGAACCCGTTTTCTTCCTCCCCCCGAGATGTTTCATGTCGCTGTCTCTCTTCCTGTTTTTCAGCTGTCACGACCGGAGGGGGGACTCGCAGCCTTACCAGGTACCAGCCGAGACCAGGGTGGAGGGGTGGATGGGGGGACGGAGGGGGAAGGGAGGACCTGCTGCTACTCGAGCGCAGGCTTCAGAAGTCGCTACAGGCCCTTTGGTGCAACAAATCCGAAACGAGCACCACGGGTCTCCTTAAAAATGCTGTGTTCGGGCCATTAGCGCTCCCCAACAAGGTTTAGTTACTTATTTTGACAGGTGACTGGAGGAAGTTCAGTTCTGTTAGGAAAAAGAACATTCTCAGCCAGGAAGGACCTGAGTCAATTATTTGGGTGTCAAAGAATCGATGGGGTGAGGTGACAGGTGATTTCTGAACCATATTTATTGTATTGGGGAACTAAAAGTTAAGGTATTGAAATTAGATGAATGGTCTGGAAAGGAGCAGCTAATTGATTTGCAATTCTTAAGCGGGTTGTAAACCACTACCCCATCTCAATTGTTTTTTGTGCAAATAATTGCCTTACGAGTGAAAGAGTGGTTTTGCTTCTGTAGGAATTGAGATCTTAGGATACTTGGATAATTCATTCTTATGTAAGATGGTTTTAGGTATGTGGGTTCCTTTTTACTGCAGTTGCATGTAAAGTTTTACAAAATTGATACAGGTGGCGCCTGTTTTGGGGGGTCTCATAAGTGGTTAACTATGAGATGACAGTAGAGGTAAATACTTTCTACATCTGATCACTTTGTTAGTGATTAGGGTAGGAGAGCAGGTTTCTAAGCTGATAGTTCTGTTAACTGGCCAGCATGAGTTAAAGCTCAAGTTAAAAACCCTAGGTCCTTTGATGTGTAAAACACTATTCATTACATTTGAATATGTCAGATTAAACCCTACTGAATCTGTTCCTCTAAACATAATTACACATTGTAAAAGACTGATATATCATGGTCGTCTTAAATATGTGTTAGAATAAAACTAAATCATTGTGAAGGAGTCCCATTAAGTTTTATTATGTTATGTTAGAAATATCAGGCAACATTTTTTTATACCTTAAAATTGTTTTACACCTGTAAGAGTAGGTAAGGTACATTTGAAATGCTTTATTTGAATCAAAGGATTCGAGAAACTAATGCTTTCTCCTGTAGGTTTGCAGAAACATGCTTAAGCTCATTTGTGTCTTTGCATCAATGATAGACCAGAAATAGACTATAGTAGTACTCAGTTTCTATTTTTCTTTAGATTAAATTTTATTTTAAAATTTATTGAGGAACTAATGTACCAAAGTATTTGGTTTCATGTATTTACAAGATACTTTTGGACTGGATTTTTTTTTTTTAAACATAGTATGATTTGTATGAGGAGTCTTACAATAACTTAGGCATATAGGTCTTGTCTGAATAACTTAAAAGCATAACTGAAAATGGAAAATTTAATTTTATTGATATAAATTCATAAAACTTCACGAAGTTAATTTAAAAAGCCAAATTTTATGATAAAATTAATTAAGGAAGCAACGTTTAAAGTTTCAATTTTTGCTCTTTATTGGGGGGGTGATGTTTTACAGGCACTTAAGTATTCATCGAAGAGTCACCCCAGTAGCGGTGATCACAGACATGAGAAAATGCGAGACGCCGCAGATCCTTCACCACCAAATAAAATGTTGCGGAGATCTGATAGTCCTGAAAACAAATATAGTGATGGCACAGGTCACAGTAAGGCCAAAAATGTGCATATTCACAGAGTTAGAGAGAGGGATGGTGGTGAGTAGCTTTTTTGTTGAAACTTTAAAGATGCTTTTATGTTTAACAATAGCTCTATGTAAAACGGGGCAATAATATTTCTAGCTTGTGGGTGTTGCCATAATTATGTCATCAAAATATTTTATTTCTGTCAATTGATTTGATTCCTGAAGAAGTTATTATAGAAATAAGATGCTGACCTGAGCATCTAAAAATGGACTCCAGCGGCTGATGATAATAGAACGCATTTATGAATATAGTCTACCAAATTCTTTAATAATGACGAGAGAAACTCAGGACCTTTTTCTGAGAAAGGGACTTGTACCTTTTCAAGTAAAGATTTTAGTTTATTTAGCTTAATTTATTTTGAGATCCTTGTTGCTGCTTGAATCTACTTTTTATGGGCCTCAACTGTGTTTCCTATTGGTAAATTATGAATTTAAAACAGGTTTTTTTTGAGACAGCTCACAGGTTAAAAAAAAAACCATTTGTGATTTAGAAAATTCCTTTTGAGTTTTTGTTGTAAACATTTAAAATATTTTCCATATTCTCCTGGGTCTTACTAATTCAACTTTTTAAAGTTAGCCTCATTTCTTTTGTACAATGCTGTTATGCTTCAGTTATTAGCTTGCCTCAAGCTTTTGAGGTAGGAGGCTGAGAAAAAGTAAATAAAATTAAATTCAATAACTATTTTCAGACTTACTTTGCTCAAATTTACCAAAGTATCAGATTTTATGTCTAAAGCATGCATTGAGGAACAAACCAATTTCACTAAGATAATTAAGACTTGTATTTCTTCCCCCTGTAATATCTTATATCGCTTAACAGATAACATTTGAGATAAATATACAATATTGATTGTGCTTTTGTAAGCTACTAAGGAAACTGAGTAGAGTACCATGTGCCTTTCTGCTTCTGATTGTCAACTAGCTTCTCGATACTTTGCTTACTTTGAAACAATATTCTGCATCTTCTGGTCCTCTTTTGCCTACTAGGATAGAAGTCAGCTTTACCAGTGATCAAATACTGAGAAACATTAACCACCTCTACATAATTACTGGGTTGAGGAAATTAATAATGGTTAGGAGATTGCATTGAGATGGAATAATTTGGATGGTTATTGGAGAGGAGGGAAGTATAATTCTCTTTTGAATATAGCTATAACGGTGCTACTAATTCAGATAAACCATATTTTTGTTTGTGACAGGACGTGGGTTTGATTATTAAAGTGTTAGAAGTTCTTTGATGCAAAATTACCTAATATTTTCAATTTTGTGGGTAGATTTTCCTTAGTGTTATGTATAGTCTGAGGTGGTACTATTATCAACCATTCTTTAGTGGATTTCATTTCAAATATTAGCTCTGCCTTCCAAGGCAGGTATTGTTTGTACCGTACTGTGCTTTATTTTTAAAATTTTGGTGACTGACAAAATAGAATGTGACACCTCATCTTGTAGATAAGTATCTTAGGCTCTCTCTTAGTGATTATGATCTGGTTAATCTATCATCTATCCCTAGATTCAGGAAGAAGTCAGTTTAGGTACTCGAGGAAACTTGATGGAAATGCTTTCATACATTTACAGTGAATGATGCTTGATAAATTCTTTTACAGGTGAAATAATCCCAAAACATTCTGTTGCTTATTCATTCAACAAACAGTGGGCATCCACTGTATGCCAACAATTGTGTGATATTCCTGGAAGTAAAGATAAGATGTCACCCTGACCTTGTAGCTATTCTTAAAGCTTTTGACTCTTGAGAACTAGTGGTGTAGCAGCTTGCTTTTTCTTGATTCCTTTCTTCATTTTGATTTTAATTTTACTTCCTATGTGAATTCGATACCTCTTGTTGACTTCTAGTTTCCTTTTTATTCGCATCTGCTTGCTGTTTCCTTAGCTCCATTTGTAAGAAACTTTATTATTTTTCTGATCTAGTCGTTTGCTGAGTTAGGCCTTACTTTTTAAACCTGCTTTGTAGCTGCTTGTCTGTCTTCCTGTGGAGCCTAATACTACCTCCATCCCTATTTATACTATCTCTAATATACCTGCCATATACCTTTATACTATGTAGGAATAATAACGAATAC